CGACACCCACCAAGCCAAATTCAATGAACGTTTTTTTATTTCAATTTTACAGTTTTGTAGAATTCGAATAAAAAAAAAATTCATCGAATTTGGCTTGGTGGGTGTCGAGATATCTTCACTCAAAGTTTAAGAAAAAGTTGGTGCAGCTCTTTTTTTTTGATAGACATTTTGAATTTTTTATAACTTTGAGTAAAGATAGCTCGACACCCACTATGTCAAATTCAATATTTTTTTTATTTGAATTCTACGAATTTGTAGAATTCAAATAAAAAAAAGTTTATCAAATTTGGCTTGGTGGTTGCTGAGATATTTTCTCTTAAAGTTAAAAAAAAAGTTTGACACAGCTCTTTTTGATAGACGTTTTAAATTTTTTATAACTTTGAGTGAAGATAGCTCGACACCCACCAAGCCGAATTCAATTAATGTTTTTTTATTCAAAATATACAAATTTGTAGAATTCGAATAAAAAAAAATTCATCGAATTTAGCTTGGTGGGTGTCGAGATATCTTTGCTCAAAGTTTAAAAAAAAAGTTGGCGCAGCTCTTCTTTTTTGATAGACGTTTTGAATTTTTTATAAATTTGAGTGAAGATAGCTTGACACCCACCATGTCAAATTCAATGAATTTTTTTTTATTAGAATTCTACAAATTTGTAGAATTTGAATAAAAAAAGTTCATCAAATTTGGCTCAGTAGTTGCCGAGATATTTTCTCTTAAAGTTAAAAAAAAGTTTGACACAGCTCTTTTTGATAGACGTTTTAAATTTTTTATAACTTTGAGCAAAGCTAGCTTGACACCCACCAAGACAAATTCAATAATCATTTTTTTATTCGAATTCTGCAGATTTGTAGAATTTGAATAAAAAAAAATTCATCGAATTTGGCTTGGTGGATGTCAAGATATCTTTGCTCAAAGTTTAAGAAAAAGTTGGTGCAGCTCTTCTTTTTTGATAGACGTTTTGAATTTTTTATAACTTTGAGTGAGGATAGCTCAACACCCACCATGTCAAATTTAATAATTTTTTTTATTTGAATTCTACATATTTATAGAATTTAAATAAAAAAATTTTCATTGAATTTGGCTTAGTGGGTGTCAAGATATCTTCACTCAAAGTTTAAGAAAGTTTGGTGCAGCTTTTCTTTTTGATAGATGTTTGAATTTTTTAAAGCTTTGAGCGAAGATAGCTCAACAACTACCTAGCAAAATTTAATGAACATTTTTTTATTTGAATTCTACAAGTTAATAGAATTTGAATAAAAAAAAGTTTATTAAAATTAATTTAGTGGTTGTCAAAATACATCGCTCAATTTTGTCAATTGTCATGTTTTGATCTATGTAGATCAGCCAATCACTGTGACCCATAACAAAATTTGATGTAATGGGGGGTGACAAATGCATTTTTCCTTAAAATTTTACTTAGGAATGGAATTTTATAATACGAAGGGAGAACAAAAGTCTATATATTTTATTTTTAAACATCTATAGTAATACATACCTATTTATACTTATCATTTTTTTTCAATTTCTTTAATTTCTTTGTATCATTATCTTTTGACTTCTTTCTCTTCAATGTTGATATATTGCTATTGTCATCTTCACTAGTAGTATCCTCTTTACTAATGTTATCATCATTGGTTGAATTGATCTTATCCTCTTTATCACCTGCTTGTACACTTCTTTTTTTGTTATTTCATCACCTTTATTGTTATATTCTGCTATTCCCTTTGTTTTGCAGTACTACCTGCAGATTTTATATATGCAAAATTGGTAGATTTTAGAGAAGTTAGATTTAAAGAGGTAGGACTTGTAGTTAGATCGATGACGGGTATATTAGTATTATCACATTGTTTAGAGGTAAAATCTACTATATTATTGCTTCAAGTCTCTAACCTTTTACCATATCTTCTTTTTTTCTTTTGTAATTTTTCACCTTTTTCTTTTTTTTCTTTTGATGTGGATCTTCATCACCAGTTGAATAATCTGCATCAAACTTTGGTACAGGAATTTGGTACTGGTTTAAAGCTTCTTCAGATGAGGCCCAGGAAGGACACTTTGCTGGTGATATACTATTCATATCTATGCGTCCCTCTTCATAGTGACGTTTTATTAGTTTTTTCTTTTGTTTGTAAATGTTTTACAAATAGATCAATTCGTTTATGAAACAGTCTCTTCAACTAAATACAATATAGAGTAATGCAAGTTAACATTAAAATTATAAGTTAAGTTTTTCTAAATTAAACAAGACTTATTATTATATTTAAAAATTCAAAAAGTTTAATTAAAATATATTATATTTGAATAACCTGTTGTATAAATTATTTAAAGTATCCAGGAATGTAACTCTTTTATAAATTTACATCTATTCATAGAGATATTATTCTTTTTAAAAAAAATAATTCATAGAAATCATCGAAGATTAATATACTCATTCTCTAAATTACTTAGTAGTGCAGATTTGATGAGATAATTTGCACAATAACACTCATAGTTCGGTTTATTCGGTTGTATATATATTCTTACGTTTGGTCCATGCCACCACTTATCTATACAAACAAGCTTTTCTCTTTTTTCTCCATCTCGTGCTGTTGCCTCTTCATCTGTCACCCACTCCTCTGCTGAATGATAGGCATTTCCACCATTTTTGCCAGTTAAGATTTCGAGATCATCACAAGAATACCATTTTATTTTTTTATTACCTGACTTCATAAGAAAAGCAAGAGCTTTTCATCTGCGGTTTCGCTTCTAATAACCATAATATAAATAAATAACAATGATAAGTAAAAAATATTTAATACTTTTTTATGAAATGCCTGTATGCATATCAAAAAGTCCACACAGGTTGTTGTACACTTATGTTAATACTTACTCCATTCACCTTGCTATTTCGACCCATTCGTGCACGATTATAAGCTTGCAGTGTGCTATCAGAGTTGATTCTTACTGTCCACCTTTGTGACTTATGGTATTGTTTAAGAATTTTTTCGACCAAGCTTAAATGGTTTTCATATCCAGGTAATTCATTTGTAATAGATGGAATAAGTTTCTTATGTATATCTTTTTTTTGCAATTCTCATTTTTTATTCGGGTCAGGACATAGCTTAGATAATTTTCCACCATTTATTAAAATTTTAATTTGATTCTATATAATATCAAATAATAATAGTAGTAATTTAAAATCTACAAATTCAAAAATGTGAAATAAGTAGTAATATTATTACCCGCAAAACAGATAATTGATCTTTATTGAGAGGCAACGGTGGCGATGTTATTTGTTGTTTTGCTGGCCTACTATCGCTATCACTGCTACTGCTTCTCTCACTACTGCTACTACTAATACTAATACTTCTATTTCTTTCTCTTTTTTCATCATGACTACTACTGCTAGTGGTTGATGGTGATGGGCTTCGGTCTTTGGTTCTTCCTTTTCCTTGGACTTCAGAAATTGCCGCAACTGCTTTGGCAATCATATAAATAAAATTCAATGTCAGGCATATTTACATATACTATACAATGCATATTATTAACATTTTACTATTAAAATGAAACTATGGAATATAGATGCGCAGTTATCGTAAAAGCAGAAAAATGGAAAAGAAGGATCTACGATCACGCTGACCATCCAATACTCGTGAATAATCCAGTTACACACGGGACGGGTTCATATTCCGTGCCGAAGGTACGGATTTAACGTGTATGTAACTGGTTATTATAATAACTATTTTATTGCACGGTGTATCCCGTGCTAATAAGTAAATGAAAAAGGCACATAAGACCCGTGCAATAAGAGAAATTGCAGCATGCTTTCTTAAATTTGAATTTCTAATGGTATACATGAGAAAGGATCTGAATTTATCAGAATAGCCTTTAATGAATAGAATCGAAACATTATTAATTCTGAATATAAGAACAAAAGTCATAATTATAATTAGGTATAAATTATCAGTCATAGATTTCCTCTCGCCGAAGTTATTTGTTTTGTATTAAAAAAAAAGTCCTAATACAAAATATTTTTTTGTATATAAATAACTCTTCACTTTGTAACGAAAAAAGATAATTAATTATTTAATATAGAATCCTTAATCCTTGATTTTGAATAAAACAATCTCGCCTTTTTTCAAGTAATTTTTGTGGCAGCTTTTTATACTGTTCAGAAATTAAGCTATAAAAAACGAAAATTTTGGAAATTATTTTAACTCGACAAATTCTTGGTACTCTATTGATCGTTAGAATAAGGAAAATTGTAGAAATTCATATAATAGTCACAGTAGAGGAATAGAATTATGGTTTGTTATTTATTGTACGTACAAAATAATATATATATGTATAATAACTGCTCTCTTAAAATCAAAAATAACTCGCTAGAGTTCAATACTAAATATCTAAAATGACGAGTTCGCTCTGCCAATTCCTCTAATAAATATAGCTACTAGTCATTGATAGTACTTGTTATGTAATAAAGAGCCCTAATCATATGTTTCGATCGATTCCTTCTAGTATTAGGATTTAGCTATTAATTATTTTTTGTGACCTTTATTCCGACGCTTGTTGGTTCTGAAGGGCATTTTCACTCTTCAATTCACATTTCAAGTTCTATTCTCATCTTTCATATCCTCCTACAGGATTGATAATTTGGCTATCCATTAAAAAGCTCGGCCGAGCTCAATATATAAGCATCCAATGAGTTCCTCCATTGGTTTCATTGCCAACTCTGCCCACAAATATCGCTACAGCTTCCGTTAAAACATGATTAAACAAATGACGTGAGTTTTAAATCAATTCTGCTGTGTTATCATTTTAATATGTACTCTTTTGTATATTTGCTTATTTTTTTTTTATTTGGCTTTATGCTTGTCTACCTCTTACATTATTCTTATCTATATATATGTGTGTATTACTTTTATTTCATATTTTCGTAACTAATAAAAGGATAACGATAATAAAATCAGAAGTAAATGGACTCAGCATCGAATTATAGAATTTTTGTGACACATAATGATCATTACCTTAGCATTATGTTATACAAGAAAATTCACCAAAATTATTTTTGTATGAATTTTCAGTATATGGAAAATTGATATTGGACGTTTCATGTACTGCACCTACCTCATGGAATCTGATTTTCTATCTAATCAAAGGCCAATCGAATTCTTATTGAAATCGTTGCTTGAAGGTGCCATAATCTTTATCAATTATTGTTATGAAAGGAAGTAGATCAATGAAAACTGTTAAACCTTTTTTTTTTTTTGAACGAAATAATCAATAGCATGTAGAAATAATTTGTCAATCGAGCTGATTTTTTTTAATCTTTAAAGATTTATGATACTTTTGGTACAAAAATCTTAATAAAGATGATCTTACAGTAATGTAATTAATTTAAAATGTTCTTAAGTAGATCTCCAACCGTAATTTGCTAATGATAGAGATGTCACCCAATCATTGCAATCAAATGAAGTGACCCTTATAACGATCTTAATTTTAACGATTCGGTAAACTCATTGAAGCAATAATTTGAAGTGTTATGCAATTTATTTAAATATTATATGTTAACTTTCCCAAAGAAAAAATTATGAATACATGAACATGCTAAAAATACATATTATGCAAAAAAAAAGTGCACTATTATGCAAAAAATACATTATTATTATACTACTGTGAAAAAGGTAGATTTACGACTGTAAAACATTTTCATTAAAAAAAAGTCTAATTTCATGTTCTACATGAGTCTAATTACTTCAAACCATATTCAATCCGACTCATTATGCCATGGTATTATCGCCACTAGAATGTGTTCCAGACGTTTTGAGTGAAGTCAAATTTCCTTTCATTCCTAATACATTTCTAGCTACCCAATGTAGTAAACCTTTTGTTGGGGGTATGCCATAAACTCCCAAATAAATAGTTCTAAGCATAAAATCCACTGAGTTTGTGATCGGATGATATGGTACAAATGGAGGTGTGATAAAAACGATTATGTAAAAAGTTGCATAACCTAAAGTTAAGAAACCTATAGTGATCATATACCAGGATCCTACAGCGGCATTCCGAGAACTAATAGAATATTTTTGTCCAGTTGGATCATTTAAATTTCGGATAGAAGGAATGGTGTCAAAAGAATTTTCAGTGGCATTATCATTTTCATCCTTAGGAGAATTTATGTCGCCATTAATCTCAACATCAAACCTTGCCTTCAAACCAATGTGATTAAAATGAACGGTTAAAATTGGTGTAAAAGTGTAAATAAAAGAACACATTCCACATATCATCCATAAGATAGCTTGAAATATTAAAATGACCAAATCCGGTTGATCTTTCATTTGCTTCAAGTTGAGAATAACGGTTACCCAATGTATAGCATTTAAACCAATTAATGAAAGAATACTAAATATCAACAAAGGCTCCTTCAAACTAGTTTCACGGTAAAATCTAGCTCCAGTAATCAGAAGACATGACCATATTATAGATGCATAGATGGCAGAAATAGCTTCATAACCGATCCAGTAATACATGATCGGGAAATTAGGTAATATGACTCGAGCTAGATTCGCACAGCTTATGACAAAATTTACAAAATTTGATATAGCGCTAATAATACAAAGAAAAAAAAAGGTGAGCTATGAAATTTCATGAATAAAATAGACAATCTAAAAGCAATTAATTACCAAGCAAGTCTTAGGAAAGTAAACTTTGTGACGGCGTAGTATATAAGAATAATGAGGCACGGAAAGTTTAAAAGCACACTTAAGCCCGTAAAACACAAATCCAATATAGAAGCCATCTTTTCAACTCGGTCTTGTCAAATTTATTATGTTGTCAAAGGTAATATGAGTCAGTAAATGATGAGGGGTAAAAGAAAAACAAAAAGAATGAATCATGAGAAGCAAATAATTTTACATCATTTGAGCATCTAGGCTTTAAAAAGGTCGAGCAATGCTTCGTTATCAGAATTATGTACTACCTAATTCCTGTGTGACATATGTCTGCAAAACTTTAAACCGTGAAACGATTAGTTATCTATCAAGAGGAGCCGGATTATTTCGCTAAGATTATTTTAATGCGTTCATCGGGTTTTTTATTGTGTGTAACGTTATTGATGAATAAAAAATGCTTATCGTTATAGTAATAAGCAATTGGGCAATTTATAGTGACGACAAAACAAAAGATAACGGGTTAGTAAACAAAACAAACCGATATGGAATATCAATTATTTATGATCATGTGTGCACAGTTGATAAGCAACATGCACATGCATTATCTTCGTATATCATATCAATATTATCAATTGTGCATAATTATATTTGTTACACACTTGATTTTTTTTTTAAAAAATTTAATTTAAATTTAAATTTAAAATTTTGACGCTATTAATGTATTATGGTTTTAATTATCCGAAAGTCACATTTTTTATTACAGTATATCGAAATTGAAACATTAAAAAAAAAAATTTTTTTTTTTTTAGAAAATTATACGCGGTGCAACAGTCTTTATGAATGTCGTCACACTTCAAAAATGCTGAAATCTGCAGCATCAAATAAAAAATTTCCTTGAGAGATCAATAACTTTTACCAAGTTACCGCGTTCTTTTCAGTCTTTTCCTAAATTATGGTTAATCTCACAGCAAGAAGACCTCCTGTAGATCCTTCATCAATGAAGGCTACAGATATCAATTTATTTAATTTCACTAGACCTCATATGCGAGCTCTTCATGTTTCATGGATTTGCTTTCATATCGCTTTTACGGGCTGGCTTGCTGTTGCTCCCTTATTTCCTACTATTCAAAAAGACTTAAATTTAACTGATTCAGAAATAGGAGATTGTAATATTGCTGTCCTCTCTTCATCGATCATATTTCGTATATTAGCTGGACCGTTATGCGAAAAATATGGCCCGAGACGTGTCATGGCTGGTATCCTTATCTTAGGTGCTATACCTACAGCTTGTGTCAGTTTGGTACAAAGTGCTAATTCTCTGATAGCTGCTAGATTCTTTGTTGGTATTCTCGGCGCGACATTTGTATCTTGCCAATTCTGGACAACACAAATGTTTAGTCCAAACACTGTAGGTGGAGCTAACGCGATTGCAGCTGGTTGGGGTAACATGGGTGCCGGAATTACTTATTTACTTATGCCCATAGTGTTTGATATATTCAACAAATTTTTACCTGTCAACATCGCTTGGCGTGTCTCTATGTTAGTCCCAGCTTTTTTATGCATAATAGCTGGTATATTCTCTTATTTTCTTGGCGATGATTGTCCTGAAGGTGACTGGTCTCGTCGTAATCTCTTCCCCAATGATGGTTATGTTCAATTTGGAGATAGAGAGTCAAAACAACCCAAAATAAAACAAGATATGGAGACGCAAATTCATCGAATTCCTACAGTAATTCATTACCTTCTCGTCTTTATCAATCCTAACGTTATTTTAATGATGGTAATGTACGCATGTTGCTTTGGTGTGGAAGTAGCAGTAGATAATGTTATCGCTATTTTTTTAACTTCTCAATTCGGAATCTCTCAAACTACTGCTGGTTTAGTTGGTTCCACATTTGGATTATTGAATATTTTTTCTCGTCTTAGTGGAGGTCTGGTTTCTGACTTTGTAAATAGTAAAATAGGTGTTCGTGGTCGATTGTTAGTCCAGTTCTTGTGCTTTACTCTCCAAGGAGTTTTTTTGATCCTTTTTAAGTTTATGAGCGGAAGTTTTGCATCAGCTGTTGTCTTAATGGCATGTTTTTCTTTGTTCACTCAGGTAAATATGAATGATTATTTTATAATGATAATGCTGTAAGTCATTTAATAGGGCGCTAATCAGTCTCGCTATTTATAACATTATTAGGCGTGTTGTGGCACGTCATTTGGTATCGTTCCTTATCTTGATCCTGCAGCTACGGGAATAGTTACGGGATTAGTAGGTGCAGGAGGTAATGTTGGGGGTTTAATATTTGCAGCGATTTTTAAAGCTTATGCTAGTGATCTACGAACTGGATTCATGATAGTAGGATTATCTGTTTTAACTGTTTCGTTTATTCCATTTTTAATGAGTATTCATGGCCGAACGTTAGTCTTAGGAACAGTTAAAAGAAATTTCTAATTTAATAATCTGGAATTATTGAAAATTTAGACTTGAATACTTTGCTTTTATTTTTCTTTAAATTATATATATATAATTTTTTTTTTAATTCACGCGCTAAATTTTCTTTTGATTTGAATTTGGAAGGCTAAAAAAAACATACGCCTATAACATATTGCAAATAGCATTGGAACATAATTAACGTTTACATTTCATAAAATAATAATAGCAAACGTCCCTTTCATTCATCCGTTCATTCATTCATTCTGAATATTCGAATCTGCAAAATTCAATATAATTTTTTTATGCACATTTTCTTATTTGGGAGTTTTTTTTTCATTTCTTAACATTGTAATAACACTATTAAAATTTTGCACTGTTCGTAAATAAATGAATAAGTTTAGCAACACCATTTGTTAATATTGTCATAATATGATTTATTAACATGAAAGGGGAGTGTATTATTACTAAGGACGTTATCCAGCTTAAACTGGTTAGTTTATGCTTTGAACACTTTCAATATATATATTTATATATACATAAACTGGGTTAAACCATGTTCTAAATGGACTAGTATTATATGTTCGTTTAAAAATTTATTTTTTTTAGCACAAATCACGAACAAATTGTTATTGATTTAAATTCAGTACGGCAAGGCGTAAAATGAGTAATAAAAAATCAATATTTAACAGGTTTGGTTATCAGAGATTGGTCAAGTAGAATAAAAATCTGCAAGGAAAATTTGATTGTTCAAAATTTATTATTTCAATGCATACGATAATATTATTCATATCGAACATTCTAGATCTGTCAATCTTATTAAAAATTTATTATAATCCTTATCTTCATTAATAAATATGAATTATTATAATATCAAAAGAATCTAATCCAAATTAGCTCATACCTTATTGTCTATTTTTGTTTAGATATAATGTTGAAAATGATAAAATCAGTGTAGGTTCATTTTATCTGAAGTTTGATTGGCTGTAAAATACATTGCATGCTGAATTGGTTTTTAACCAATATTTAGTTAGTAAATATTCGGCCTTTTCTGCCTAACTTCAGTTAGATACTAATTTTATGAATCATGCTAAACTGTAATTTATATAAAGATGATGTTTTTTGGCCAAGGATTACGATAGCTCATATATAATATTATATGAGAATTCCAATTGCATAAATATTGTCATAGAAATAGTAATATAGCTTACTAATTTAAATTTAGCTAAAAAAAATGATACCGGTTAATGTAGATCATTTTAATTTATTTGCAAATTTTTTAAACTTTAATCGAAGATATCTCGACATCTACCTAACCAAATTCGATGAACTTTTTTTTATTTGAATTCTGTCACTTTCTATAATTGAAATAAAAAAAAATTCATCAAATTTAGTTAGGTAGATGTCGAGATATCTTCTATCAAAAATTTGTAAAATTTCAAACGTATACCAAATAGAAGCTGCGCCAAAAATTGTTTTTTAAACTTTGATCGAAGTTATCTCGACACCTACCTAACCAAATTTGATGAACTTTTTTTTGTTTGAATTCTGCTAAATTCTACAAATAAAAAAAAAAAAAAAAAATTAGTTAGGTAGGTGTCGAGATATATTCGATCAAAGTTTAACCTAAATTTTGGCGCAGCTTCTATTTGATATTATACGTTTGAACATTTTAAAACTTTGATCGAAGATATCTCGACACATACTCAACCAAATTTGAGCTTTTTTTTTTTTTTTTGGTTCAATTATAGAAAGTGACAGAATTCAAATAAAAAAAAGTTCATCGAATTTGGTTAGGTAGATGTCGAGATACCTTCGATCAAAGTTTAAAAAATTTGCAAATAAATTAAAATGATCATGAAATTATTGTTTAGTTATGTAACAGGTAATAATCATAATTATCAGATAATTTTAAAAATATATACTATTCAATAAAATCATGACTAGGAATACTTTTTTAGGAAATTGTTATATGGTGTATTATGCATTTGGTGCACCCCTCTATATCTCAAAATCTTACTAGGGCAACCCTGCTGTGTTACTAACAAAATGTTCCTCACGCAATTTTACCTTAAATTCCCACCTAACCCTAATCTTTATTGGTGCTCTATTACTGTGCTTATTGCAATTAGAGAGGCATCAAATGCACGGGTGTATCATAAATTTTTATTTTATTAAATTAATTTTAGCAAATTATAACTATAAAGTCATTTTAGCATAAAAAGACAATACACATTATATATAAAACATAGAACATAAAGTTTGACAAAAAAAAAAAAAAAAAATAGTAAAAAAAAATAAGCGCATTAAAGTCAGATATTTTACAGTTCGCTACAGTTCAGATTATGGTCATGTTATTAAATTTCTGTATCCAAATCACGTTTCCTTTCACAATGCACTACATTAAAATGCAGTAATCAATAATGATCATTGAATGAAAAGACGATCTCATTAGCACATGGGATACATAATAGGATACTCAAATAAGATTTTCAAATAGGATTCTCAAATGGAATATACAAATGGATTCTCAAATGGGATTCTCATTCATATCTTAGATAACGTTGTAAACGAATAAGATCCAATCGACTTGACCTAATTGACCTTAATCAATTTTGTTGACTTAGTCGATTCAACTATAATAAATATTTTTCAAGTTCAATTATTGTTTTATAATTTTTGTTTATTATCGCATTGTAGATAATAATTTAATAATGGTTGGCTAATCACATGACTAACAACCTCGCTCTATAAAGTACCTGGGTATTATATTATTAAAAATTTATTTAGAAAAGATATATATTCGATATAATTTTGCCCCATATATAATACCCCTACCGAACACAGTACCCCCGCACATAGTACCACAACCATATACAGTACCCGAGGGGGTACTATTTGTGGTTAGCACGAGTTTCCTGGTATATACCCGGGGTACTTTATAGAGCGCTATACGGTAATAACCTAAACATTAATCAATAGGCTAACAACATCAATCTTGTATCAACTTATTTAAAAAAATTTCACGGTGTGTTTATCCAATTTTTTGTAAAAAATTGGCTTTTTCACGGCTTTGAGAAAGGTTCCATGAAAAAAGAAGCAAAAAACTCAAAGTAATCAATCAACTATGATCGTTACATTGAACGTTACATTAGAACGTCAAATGATGAAACGTGTCGAAGTTATGAAAACTCAAAATATTTGATAACCCTTTTACGTTTTACCAACAAATTTGTATACATTGCTTATAAAATAAAAATATGAAATAGATAACAAGTATGATAAATATGATACCGGGATAGTATGTAATTTTGATACTACGTCCTATTCCAGTACAGCAATGTTACATTAAGTCATATGCTCGCTAGTATATTGATAATTTTAACATCTACATTATTTGTTATGGCCTATGTTTCTTCATTATATAATGACTGTTGTGTAAAACTGGATTTAATATGTGTGATAATCTAATATGAAAATTCTGTCATTATATTTCCATATTCCCCGTTAATTCAATAATTTTTCCTATCGTAGTGTAACGATTTCAAATTTATAATAAAATGAAAAACTCTTCAACTTCTAAATGTACAAAACAAACAAGTTCACCATAAGACTTCGGTGATTATCAAGTAATGCCATAATCCTGCAAAGGGAACATAAAACGTTTTATGACCTTAGAACTGAGTCAAGAGTATGTGAACGTACGTACGATATACATAGTACGCATTGAGATTAGCCTAAAAAAGCATTTTAGTTGATTATAGTTTATTGTGCACCCGTTTTATAGTCAAATTGTTTATTTTTAGTGCTATATTATAAATTAATCAAAATAAATATAAATATTGCTGAATACCGTTTGTTTGTTTAACAAACAGCTGCAGATAAGGCTTCAGCCAATAAACTTTAATAAAATTAGTAATATATTGCTTTTGTTTTTTTTCAACTGTATAAATAGATATATGACAGTTATCGTAACCAATAATAATTTATTTGTTAAAAATATGTCCGAATTGGAGAATTGGAATCATTTGATATTACAAATAATATATTGAAAATAAGATAAAATGAATTATTCCGACTAAACGAATGACTGGTTACGGTTACAATTTCCTCTAACAATCATATATTAAATTTGAGGCGGGAATTTAAATCACTAATAAAAAATTATTATCCGGCAGCTTATTATGATTCGTCTGCCCAATAAATTTATTATTCGGCAGAAATTACATAGTTGCCGAATAATAAAATTGTTATTGGGCAGACTATCGTCATAAGTTACCGGATAAATCCGTTATCAGTCATGCAGATGCCTTATAACTTAATTATTTGGTCAAATGATTTAAAGTCAGCCTAAGAAGTTGAATTCCTTCGGAATTCAATTTCTTAGTCTAATTTTAAATCTTTAACCAAATAAACCAGTTATCAGGCAGTGCCTGCCTGATAACTATTAATTATGAACCAATTTAGCTTTAATAACGCTTTAATAAGATACGTATCTTATACTAATTAAATTATACTATATATTATTTATACTATATATTATTTATAACAAGACCTATAAAATAGTTATTATTACTTTAATACGCAATATAAATTTACAAATTATACTTTAAATTTTAATAAATACTATTAATAACTGTTATAATGAATTACCTTTTTTTTTTTGGAAACCTTATTAATAATAGAATGTGTCGTCATTTAACATTTATCTTACTTAATTACCCGAGTTTGACAGAGACACTAGATAACAATACAGGTTTCATAAGGTTACTTTTGTTAAATTTCTGACCTTCCATTTTCATACACGCATTTATTTGAGTGATATTAAATTAAACCGAGTTGGGTTTTAGTGATATGGGCTGACCTCGAGTCGGTAGACGGGTGAATGATTCTCCTTTAAGACATATTTCAGTTAAGAAAATTGACTAAAAATAGCCTATTGGTGAAACAAAATTAGGGTGGTAAAATAGCGTTGCAAGCAAAATTACGTAATATTAATTGTCACAAGGGAAATAACTATCGGTACATAGCGATTTTTTTTAATTCACATGCAATAAATATAAGCTTTAGCACGTGATGATTAATCATAAGTAACTTTGTTTGCAATACTGTTCACCATTATCATACAGCGCTGCATATAGTACCCCCTTGAAGAAGTATTCCCTTTAACGTTAAATAGTATCGGAGCTTCATTTGGCACTGGAGTATGACCAATCAATGAGAGTGACAAGTAAGCATTTACCATAAATTTTATATAGTAAATACTTATTTGTCCCATCCAATTGATTAATCACATCCAAGTGCCAAATGAAAGGGTCACTAAATCCCGATTAGATATTCTCTCAGTGTACCCCCTTGTATAGTATCCCCCTCTTCACACAGTGCCCGGGGTATTATTTAATTAGTCTTGAATTTCTCGTAAAAGTTCGGGGTACTATGTGCAGCGCTGTACGGTATTATGTTGAATTGGTGAAATTGGTGAAACTAATTTCACCAGTATCTCTATTTATAACAATGTATATTTACTATATAATTTAGATGATAAATTGGAGGATAACAATATAAAATATCGCGGATGATCGTGAAATCTGGGGGCCTTAATTTAAAAATATAAACCCTATTAAAACCTCTTTTATTATAAACTCTAACCCTAAATCCTAAAAAAAAATATATAAAAAAATATACCCTAAAAATTTTTAATCGTATATTAAATAGGGTTTGATTTCACGAACATCCGTGACATAAAATATGATAAGCTTAGATACGTACAGATTAGTAAAAAGAGTCAGCCCATCGACTGGCACGATCTTTTTTAGGATCGACCTCGGCCCATGATTTTCCTCGACGATATCACTAGCTTACAGCTGTTTTCATAAATTCTGGGACGCTTAAAATTTTGCTTGTTTCTCGAAATCTCTTCGATCTCGTTCTAAGATTCATCTAATTTTTCTAAAATTATTTCGCTGTCTTGGAACTTCGATACAGAGACAGTACAGCAATTTCCAAAAAGTTAGGTGATTCTTAGAATGTAGATTTATGAAAACAGCTATAAATAAATTGTGTCATTACTCATGATGCCTGACGAAATGGTTTCGTCAATGGTTTCGTCTGACGTAACTTGGCGATATGACGTAACTACCAGTCGATCGAGATGTCACGCAGATCACTTGATTAAATTTTTTACTATGAAATTTGAGTGATCGACACTCATATAAATTCGATTTTCATAGTAAATTGCAACGGTTAGCCATTTTCAATCATTGTTTTCAGGGGTTTCCTAAAAGGAAACTACACTCACGGGATGTAGTGAGTATTCAGAAAGTTAAATATTGCATGACAAGTAAGTTTAAAATGAGATAAAAAAGTAAAGTTAAAAGAATCTTGTTCACGAAGATAGCCTTTCATTTCATATTCTATAATACTCGCAATGCAATAGATCTTTGATTTACAAAGGTATTTTTATGTAATATAAATATCCTTAACAACTTTACTTTGATTTAAAAGCTTTTTAACAAAAAATAAACGAAGTACTAAAATATTGTAATTATGTTTTATTGTCAAGAACAAACTGTGTTAAATCAAAAGATTTAAGCTAAAAAAATTATTACTGTAGCCATTTATACTACACAAACTTATAATTCAAATAGTTAACATGTATCATATTACTGTGTTAATTATGTATTATTGTATTAATTAAATTAATAAAAGATTTTAATGTAAATTTTGTTTTTTATTAAAAATAGTATTATTATTACATATACTGCTAATTTACTAATCATATAGATAGGACGAATTTGACAAAAAAAACAAACACAAAAAATTAATTATCTCACAAACCATTGATCAGAATTATATAATTCTGATACCGTTCGATTTATCTCAATGAGACGAATCGAATGATATAAAAATTATATAATTCTGATTAATGGTTCGCGAGATAATTAATTTTTTGTCTGTTTTTTTTTGTCAAATTCATCCCTTTCTTAACACCAGGCCTATATTACGAATTTTTGTAAAGCGTTGGTCGTGTAATAAATTATAATACAGCAAACGTGTAAATAATTGAAGAATATAATTTTGCCATGGATATAGGTTGCTATATATTAAAAAAAGAAAAAACCTTATTAACAAATTGCAATCTATATACTACAAAATAGTTTTTCTTAATTTACTTTATATTTTTATAAGATACCCTTCCTTCAAAGATGTAGTTCACAGAAAGTTTCCACCCGTGCGCATTTAACAAGCCATTTTTCACATCAAGATCTTAAAGAATCTTGAGAAAGAAGGCAAAACAATTGCCTATCTTCGAAGGGGTCTCACATTACCTGGTAATGTTAGTTTTTTATATTCTTTATACTATTTGCTTCGTTGAAGCTCTGGCAACCTATTTGTTTTAAAAATATTATATGTTGTGACTAAGACTTGGGGAGAAAATTTCAAAAATGTGATTTCTTCAATTTGTGTAATTTATGAAAATTATATAAAAAATTATGTGTGATATCTTGATTGACTGGTACGTACAGTACATACAGTACATACTGTACATATAGTTCCTTTTCTGGCATCTAATTGGCTAGAACAAGTGATCGGCAAAAATTTTAGCATACAGTACATTGTGAGCGTGGGAACTGATCCAAGCCCTAGAAAAAATGGGCAATACGGATACCAATCAACACTAAAACTAATCTAAACACTATTCTAAAACTACTAACTCTATCTCAACCCTAATATGGCAGGCTACGATCGAGGTGTTGAAGACTTGGTCCGAGTAATTAGGGTCAAATAGAGCTCTGGATTATATCACAAGACTCTAATGTCACGGGTTTAGACTACTAACTTTATGCAGATTTAATTTATTGGGGGATAATTAGACCAAAACTTGAAGTCAGGATACTAAACTCTCTATAAGTCGACCTCTAATGAGTTATTCCAACTCTTACTCAGTTATCTTTTATTAAAACGAAAAGATAGGTCTTAAATAGCTTTTGACCTTTGCTGTATATATAGCGGATAAACTTTACTATCTTACATTAATTTCTAGTTTTCTAATTATAGATTCGAATTGGCATAGATAGATACAAATCTGAACCTAGATACATGTATCTAGATACAAATTTGAACCTCTCTATGAACCTGCTTTTTCCCGTACTTAATACTAATAGATAAATAACACTAATAACAATAGAAAATAATATAAATAAT